AGATATATATATATTAATAATAATCAAAGTTTAGTTTCTTTTAAACTTAGAAATGATTTACCTTATAGGATCCTTAGGAAATCTGAAGAATTTCCTGTCTGGTGTTTTTCAAGACGTTGTCCCACAAAACAAACAGCGATACCAGGATTTGGGTTGTTTGCTAAGTAAAAGATAGAGTGAGTTAGTCTGTTATTCACCACACCACATCAAATATTGAGAGAAATCAAAATTATATTTTTATAATAATGAATATAAAATTTTCAAAAATAATCATAAAATACGAAAAATTGTATATAACTATCAATATACTAAATTAAAAATAATATTCAGTGGCCACTAATATTAAATAAGTTTATAAATTTTCTCAGATAAACTATTTAGTAAAACTGAAGCATAATACAATTTATTAATAAAATTAATTTATGCAATCATACATGCCATTAGCTGCCGCATTATTATAAATGGCAAATTTATTCCTGATCACTCGTTTTGTCGTAATATTATTATTAGTTGACTTTAAAGCTTAAAACTCATTTAAAAAATTTGGAAAGAAATACCAATATGCCTGCAAAAACTATATAGTATTTGTTTGCCATATGATTAATTATATAAATTGAGATTCATATGCTAAAATGCAAAGTTAATATATTAAGAATGAAAATCTAGCTGCTGTGTTATACAATGAGACAAAATATTTTTGGAGCTTGGGAATCAAAATTAATGTACTATACCAAATCAATTTTTAAAATCTATTATTTAAAAAATTAAAAAAGCAAGCTTACCTCACAGAAAGAGAATCGGGTGAATTCCGGTGATCGTCTTGCGAAACATCCATCTTATGATCTGCTTAAATAACTAGAGAAAAGAACTGAGAAAAACTTTCAAAGAACCTCTTCGAACAACGCGGTAAAAGATTGCTAATATGGCTGACGACATGCCGGTTTCTTGCCTGCTATTTCGCACATACGCAGAAAGGTAAGGAGGGTGGATGGATTGCGGGACATACACAGTGTCTCTTCAGTCTGACGGAGCCACATTTGCCTAGGGAAACCTTTACTTCTTCTCCTTAGAGATTCTTTGCATCAGGCTTCTTAAGATTTTGCTTGAGTTTTCCGAGATACCCCTTAACAGATGAAGAAAAATATGAAATAATGAGCAAAACTAAAGGGTGTTGTCGATTTGGTGACACTGTAAAAGATGGAGAAGGATGAAAGGTATCTTGATTAAATATTATTTTATAAATAATTTATTAATTAATAGATTTACACAAGTACAAACTAAGCAACATTAAGTTATAATGGATTATATACAAATGTCTGAAAAAGCAGTCAAGTTCTTTGGCGCAAAGGAATTGCAATATATCGGAGCAGGAAAAGAACTTGAAACTTGAAAGAACATATGAATTATCTCATGATTAACTGCTGGTTCTAGCACTTCATCACTCGGGATTATAATGCACTGCCACTAGACTTTTAAAAATATTTAATAACTTGGAATTATAAACTTTCAAGAGACGTAGAGTATTCTTTAAAGTTTTTTGATTACCTACAAAGCAAGCTATACAAGGACACGTAAGAAAACTTTGCTTTAGTGAGCACATATTCAACGTGCCTTTTTGAAGGTGAATATGTCATTTAAATGGGTCCTCGATATTTTATTAAGGTCAAACGCGAAAGTTGTATACGACTGATAAAAATCTCATTTAATTCTTTAATATTCTTTCTATATCTGAAGATAATGATCTTGCTTTTCAGTGGGCTAATTTTGATATGCCATATTCAGCAACAGTAAAAAATATTGCTAATACTAAATTGGACCTTGTCTTTTGCATGAATTGAGTGGTAAATATAAATTACTAAATTAACAATAATTTTAGCAACATACATTCCTCGAGGCTCTAACAGGTCGTTGACAAACAAATTGAACAACAGACTCAGAATCAAGCCCTGAGGAATTCCGTCTAGATTGCGCTTTCTAACAAAAAGGGCATCGCCAATACGAACTTGAAAAATTAATTAACTATAAATTGATGATTTTAACAAGCTTGAAAGGAATTCCAAGTCTTACGATCAACCCTTAATTCCAGAAGCAGTTATCCCTTAAAAAGTTATCTAAAGAGGGAAGAAAGCCAAAGAGTCTGTGACAAGTTCTTTTACTTGTTAAAGAAAAGTAATGAAAAGTAATACTGTAATAATAAAGAAAAGTAGTACTTCCATTGCTACGGAAAGCAGTGACATCGAAAATATGCGTTAAAAATATCAGTAATTAAAATGATAGCTTTTCTCGAAACTTCTTGAGTAACCTTGTTCGTGATGGCATCAAAATCTTTAGTTTTCTTGATCTCCAGATTCTGGATAAGGTACATCATTTCGCTGCCAGAAGCTAGAAGGATAATATTACGGTATAGGGCTTTGAATGGTATAGGGGGCTTCTTTGCAGATCTAAAGGCTAAGGTTAGTTTTATATTTTGTTCTCAGACAGGTGGAGGTTTGGTCTGTAACAGTCTTGATTGATATATCCCAATTGATGATATTGGCCAATTTTTCCCACGGTAGCAAGCATTTCCTTAATATTTCAGAAGGTCAATTGTTTACGTTCCTACGTTCCGATAGGCGTGGAAGTGAACATCAGCCTTAAATTACTTGAATAAACCTTTGATCATTTTCTATTGATCATTAATTTCATTTCCTTAAAAATTTAAAAGCCTCTTTTCGTCAGGATTGAAGCTATATTTCTTTTTCTTATTTCGTTTATCTAAATAAAAATCAAACATTTTTTTACTAAACCACTACTTCTTTATCGCCTTTTTTTTTAGATTCTCTCAGAACAGGCGTGGCAAATTTTTGCTTATTTGGGCGAGAATTTGCATACATTGTTTCCAAAAATGAAGACTTACCGTATACACAGCAGAGAGTCACAAAACAGTCAACGTGAGAAAGGAGTTAAAATGAAGAGAAACTCTGTAAAAATACCAGTTACTAGGGAAAAGTGTGAGGACAGGCTTAAAAAATTTGAAGGCGGTAAGTTTCAGAAAGTACAAAATTTCTAACATTTCTAACACCTTTCTTGTGCAAGGTTTTACAACAAGTAATTGAATAACAGGAGATAAACGAGGGTAAAATTAAGGAGAGAACTGACCTGACATCCATGCATAATTATGTATAAGAGATAGAGTTTAATATCAAAAAGGTTTTTTAAATCTGTCATTTTATTTTAAAATATATATAAATTGATTTATTTTATAAAAATAAAGAAGTACTCTAAGAAAGTGAAAAAAGGAAATACTTTGATATAAGATGTATACGTATAAATTATGTCGTTGATGAATCGGAGAGCTATTAGGCATTTACTTTTTTAAAAATTATTTTCGAAAATTTTTAGATTTTAGAGAATTAGAGGTAAAAATTATTTATTTAGATTCTCTGTCTTCCAATCGCCAAATACAGGTGGTGCTGAATTATCCTCCACTCTATTTTACCGGGCATCACTTATAGAGCAATTCCACTTTTCCCCAGGGAAGCGTGAAAAATATGCTATGTTCTCGATGAAATTTGAACTCCGGGTCTTTTGATGATAACCGAACCTGCTACCATTTATACCCCGAAGGCATGCAGTAAGGAAGCCTGATATTCCTTATGTTCTCCTCTTCTTAAAAGCTGACTGAGAAGATGACTTAGTCGTCAGTTCCAGAGGGTTTATAATCAATAAATTATCAGCTATCAGAATTTAATCAAGTGTGACTTTAGAGTTATCAGGCATTTATTTCGGAGACAGGAAAACAATAAATCAATTGCGACATTGACGGGATTCGAACTCCTGATCTTCCGATTGCCAGTCGAATGTATTACCAAACCACACACTGAGACCATGCAGCAAGCAAGGCTAAAATTCATTATCCACTCTGGAACACACATATCATTTACATTTAAATGATGAGATTTCATCAAAAAGGATAAAATTAAAAAAAAAAAAATCTGAAATGTTTCAGATTTTAAATTACGTCCAAAGGGGTGTTTTTTAACATTTTGTGTGTTACCTTTCTTTATTAAATATCATGTTCCTCGCACTTAAACCATAAGATCCAGTGCAACAGCAATATCGCAAAATAGTTTTAAAACGAGCATATCTTTAGAATTTCCGATACAGAGACTCACGCGCTGGAGATAAAAATGTTTTTTTCCGCACAACGTTGCCATTGCTCGCTTTGAAATCCTTGAGTTTGTTAATAAAAAATTCGTCAAAGTTTTAAAAAATAGGAAATCGATCATAAAACAAATTTCAAATTTCAAATTTGGTCTTCCACATGCTCATATTCGTTGGAGGATTACGTTATTCAAAATTCGATGACTCTATGTACCGTTATTTTATGACAATGTGAGAAATATACATACATTTACGCAGATTTTCATTATTTAATTTCTTCAAATATAATGCAGGACTTATTTATGGACAACATTTTATGGCAACAGTTTGAAAAGTGAACCGACATTTATCCGTCCGACGCAAAATGCCAAAACGAAACTAATAGTCCTTCGGGATTCAAATCCCTTTGGACTAAAAATTCTGATTCGAATTTTGAAAAAATCTCTACGAGGTGCACTGGCTGTTTTCTAGATGCACCTATGTACCAAATTTCGTAGCCCAGGGTCTAATAGCTTACGCGCCACCCGAACGAAAGACACACAGACTCTTTCTTTTATTACGAGTATATGTAGAGATAACAGTAACTTATTAAAAAAAACCTCACACAGTCTGGTAGATTTAATACAGATTAAATTTAGTGCTTTTAAAATTAAAATTAATTATTAATTATTTTTTTAAAATTTAGATAACTTTCAAGTCATACATGTGCACATTTAATTTAAAAGAGAGGAAAAGTAAGGAAAAACTGTTATCCTAATTTTCACTTTGGCAACAGTTTAAAAATGTATTTGAAATGGTTTTTTTTTTTTTTTTTTTTTTTTTTTTTTTTTGTCAGCAAATCTTCATAGATTCTCCGTATAAAAGCTTGATCGCTCAGGAAATAAACAGCCCTTCAAGTATAATGGACCAAATAAGCAAAAACTATAAAAAAATTATTAACGAAGCCATTGCAACGGGTGTAATACCAAAAGACTCTCAGGAATTTTATTTATGTAAGTAATGAATATTAGCTTAAATAGTTTCATGAACTGTAATATCATTTTTATCAAAATCCAGAGCAAAGATATTCTGCTTTTGCGTTATATATTTAAATAAAGATATTGGCAGTTATTATTGCTTTATGGTAATAAACTCTAAAATCCTAATTCTTTTATATAAAAAGATTAATAGGTATAAAAAAACTTTATCTCATTTTTTACGTCATTTTAAAGGAAGCTTTCTTTAATAAAAACTATAAAATATTATTTTAAGTAATCTTTTTTTACGAGTAAGTATTAGAAAATAATAACGTCAAATTCTTGTCTTATCTTCGAATTCGGATGCAATTCAAGTCCATGGGAAGGACTTGAATTGGTTGACATATTAAGGTGGCTAATTTCTCGTTGCGTGCTTAAGAAACTTCGTTTAAGTACACGTGCCTAGTCCAAGCAAGCCCTTACGGAACTTCTTAATTCTATTAAAAAAAAAAAACAAGTTAAATTTCTTCAACTGCCTTTAGAATTATGACCCAGTTTTCTATCAGCTAGGTCATAGATCTTCCATACAAATCTGAAAATTTTAGATATAGTTTCCGCAAGTTTAAATACAAAGGTTCTATAGAGATATGTGTAGATATTTCCTTAATATCTGCGTACAGAATAAAATTTTGTACAGTTTCTAAAGGTACCTTATGTAGAATCTTATGTTTATATATATATTTACTAAAATTTCCAATTTACATTTTTCCAGCTTTAGCAGAGAAGACATTTGATACTTTCTATAGTTCCTTTTCCGCATTAGGTTAGTCTTCCTAACAAAAATTTTACATTTTTGCTAAGGAACTATAGTGCCAAATGTATTTTTTAGCATTAGCTTTTAAACATTCCTCTTATGTAAGTTATAACAAAATATAATAGCTCTTTGAAAAATATAATTGGCGACCTCAAAATTAACATTCTAAATTTAGCCATCTGCGCCTAAATTCATCTCTTCTCACAGGTTCCAGATTTTTCTATCTTACGTAACGTTTTAATGCACATGCCTCTTGTCCAATCAAATTTATTACAAAATGTACAGGCGCGGTAAGGTAGCTTCTCCGCAAAGCAGTTTTAGGGTTGGCATAAAATAGCAAGGAAAGCAGGATTGCCAGATTTGGTGAGAAATCGCTCATTTGGCGACTTTTGGAGACCATGGACGATATACCATGGACGGTTGGAGAACCTTCTGGAACGAATTCTTACCAGTTTAGCCCAGAATGTTCTCGAACACAGGCCGAAAGCTATATAAACCCTGCTGGTCCGCAGTGTCTCAGTGTGTGCCTCGTCGAGAGGGGGAGTCAGAGTGCCTCGTCTGGAGTGCAAGATAGTCAGTATCGAGTTGGTGTCTCGTCTAGCGAGTCAATCCCTGGGGAGTCGATCGAGTTGACAGCCGGGCAGCGAGTGCCGAGTGGGTCGTCGAATGCACCGAAGGAGTCTGTTAGTGTATCGCGATTAGTGCATCGTCGAGAGAGCGTGTTGAGCTCAGGGAACGACTGAACCGAAGAGTCGGGAGCTGTGCTCGTGTGTCGTCGAGTTCATCGCGAGTTGTAGCGTGGAGAGTCTCGAGAGTACGTGGAGTTCCGAGAACGACCAAGCAGAGTCGGGTGCTTTGCAGAAAGCTGTCTCCACCGTGATAGCCTGATAATCTGAAGGCTGTGTTTCTGATCGTGTCAGCGAGTTTATAGTAGTTCATCGACGACTGTAAAAGTGTTTTGGAGCTGTCCTGACAATACTGGTTAATAAAGTGTGTTTCGATAATTCATTAAGTGTCGTCGTTATTCACTCCAAATCTACGAACCCTGTACGAACGTTAAGGAAGAAAATAACGTAACAAATTCATTGTAAACCAAAACTGTGAACTGAAACTTTCCCACTCCCAACCTTCTTCCTCTGAAAGTATTCTTCCCCTTTTTCGCATAAGCTCTCCTACTGGCAAGACGCTTTTAATTCATGTTGCTGCGGCTTACGTGCTTAAGATGACGTCGTACTTCAAAATGCAACTTCTGTATTCAAATATAATTAGGAAACATGTTGTCTAAAAAAGATTATTTGATATACGTAAAAAAAATAATGATTGTGATTTTTCAAGATACGTTGTGCTAAATTGCGTCATCATGCTTTCCACTCAGCCAATACGATCATCTCAGTCATTTATGCAATATCGAAAGCTGTTAAATGTTCCACTGTTTCATCTACACATTTGGAATCATTACATATATTGCCGTTTCGAGACTGATAGCTCTTCTGGTTTAACTCCCATTTGAGCAAAGTACACTAGAGTCAAATATTCTGGTAACTAGTTTAATAGAAAAGTACAGAATTAGGAGTAGACATTCGATAGAAATTTATTTACAGATTTTACAGAGATATGTGTGCATATTCGATGGAGTTTTATGAAGAAATTCTATAAAGGTGCATAGTTTATTTTATTTCCAAAGCTTCCACGAATGGAATCTTAATAATGTGTACAAAATCTACTAACAGAGTCTTAGGGAAAATATCAGATCCGGTTTACATAAAATTGGGCAATAACTTTAAAGAACTTTATGCAAGTTTTCTTGTTTTAATCTTCTGTAAAACATCCTATAGAAGTTTTTGAATATTCGAAAGCATTTAAATTCAGCAAAATTTTCTTTTGAACTTAAAAAGAATGAATAAAACTTTCGTTTAAAACAGAATTTTTTAAATGAACTAAACTTTCGTTTTTAAATAGAATTTTTTAACTTCGTCGAAAATTTGAAATTATTTTTGATTTATGGAAGGTGGTTTCAGAATACATTGTAAATTTCTTTCCTAATAGAAATTGTTAGTTGATTTTGACTTTAAAAATTATTTAAATAAAAGTACATCCATTTTAAACTACTTTTAATTTTAATTAAAATTAAAGGACCATTTCCCTTATCAGGGGTACATGCACAATAATTAAAAGCATTAACTTCACAAATTAAAATTTTATACATGCTGAATAAATTTAATTTTTAGCTATTTTTATGATTTAAATTGATTTTCGATTTTTACAAGGTTTAAATTTTGTTAAATTTTGTATTGCATAAACAATACAGTATAAGAAATTGCACAATATGTTACATAAATTTAGGAACTAAAAAAAGGTTAAGCCAGGAAAGAAAATTTTTAAAAATAATTTCCATTAAAAATTGTTCAGCATTTATGAATAAAATTTTGTTTATTTTTATATTTCTATATACACTGCTGGCCACCGTAAATACACCCCTGAAGGAAGCATGCAAATAACATGAAATTTATAACATGCATTAGTGGAGGTGAGATATGCAAATGATTAGAATTTCAGCGCAGAAGCACATCACGCGCGCTTGTGGCGCCACTTCAAAGCACTATTAAAGGCTTGGAGTTTTCTACGATTTCAAGTTCGGCAATTGTGTTTTTCTTGAGTTTTTATTTTTTTTATTTTTTCAAAAACGATCAATTATGCCTCGTAGTAAACAGCGATCATCGTTTAATCAAGTATCCGAGTTCGAAGAGAGGAAAGATAGTGGCCTACCGAGTGTGTGGATTATCTTTCAGGGAAATCGGTAGTCGTGTTGGACGAAACCAAACAACTGTAATGCGGATATGTGACCGTTTGATGCAGGAGGATACGACGGACCGACGTGTTCGATCGCATCCACCTCCGTGCACCACTTCACGTGATGACAGGAACATTGTGCGCATGGCAGTGACGGATCGCTCAGTCATATCACGAACCATAGCACAGCACATTCAATCTGTAACGCATCATCCAGTGTTTGCGCGTACCATTCTACACCGTTTACACCAGAGTGGTCTGTCCGCAAGACGTCCATTGCTTCGTCTACCCTCAACGCAGAACCACAGACTTCCCGCCGCAAATGGTGCGATGAAAGAAGGATGTGGACGGCAGAATGAATGAAATTGTCTTTACTGACGAGTCATGCTTCTGTTTGCAACACCACGATGGTCGGATTCGTGTCTGAAGACACCATGGAGAGCGGATGCTGAACAGATGCGTTATGCACCACTCCACTGGTCCTGCACCGGGTTTTATGGCTTGGGGCTGTATTGGATACCATTCTCGCACTAATACGCATTGTCGTACTTTAAACAGCCAGTGCTACATCTCCGAGGTGTTGGAGCCAGTTGTCCTCCTTTACCTTCAGGGTTTGCCCACAGCCATATTTCAACAGTTGCTGAACGATTGACTCAGATTACATCCCAAGCTGCCACACCAGATCAACTTTGGCAACGTTTGGAAGCTGCTTGGTCTGCTGTACTCCAAGAACACATCCAAAAGTCTCTTTGAATCAATGCTGAGGCGTGTGGCAGCGGTGATCTCCAACAATGGCGGCTACTCTGGCTACTGATTCTGGAAGGAACCACACTTCACAGAAGTCTATAAATTTAATTGTTTGATGCTTGGTCAACATGTTATCTACTAAATAAATTTTGTTGTCTTTCTTGATGTTGCAATTTGGGTGGCCAGCAGTGTACATTAAAAATTAAAAATTTGTTTTGATTATAGTTTGAAAACTTTGCATCTCTACAAAACCATTCTATCAAGATTTTATAAAATTTCTACGTGCTTTTGCAAAACAAAATTTTTATAAAATTCTATTTTGTGAAATAGAACTTCTTATGAAATTTCTATCCAATTTCACAGCAGAAGCATTTATACAATAGATTATCTATAATGTTCTTTGGGAATTTCTATACAGTTGTATCAGCTTTATTAAATTTATAGTATGAGGCATTTACATTACGGCTTGATCATCGCATTTATTGCTGTTATAAATATCGTAGCAGTGTTCACACCTACTAAAGTTATAGCTTGCTCGAGTCCAAGCCGCCACCAGTTAGGAAAAGGAGACTTTATACATACATCCTTTGGCATAAAAGTTCCAGGGCAATTTTTTTAAATTTTTATTTCTGAGTTTGCAGTACCAAAACAGGAACAAATGTTGTTTTATGTTACCTGGTATGTA